GTAGACGTTCTAACGTACTATAAAATGGACAGAACTCTACCACTAACAGCGGAGCACAAGGCAGCTCGCTTGGAATTGCTGAGCGTCTTTCTGTGGCGGCTCAGAAAGAAAACGTTTGGAAGCTAATAATTTTTTCTGATGAAAAGAAATTTAACCTAGTCGGACCCGACGAACCCGACTGCTACAAGTTTTACTGAAGAGATCTGGGCCGGCCTCTTCTGTGGTGTACGACTCAGATAAAATCCAAGCTCTGTTGGATATGCCACCTCCAACCACTGCTGATTCTCTACAGCAGTTTATCAGCGCTGCTGACTGGATGCGTAGCAGTCTAGTTGATTTCGCTCGTATTAGCCTACCTCTTGAGGAAAGGTTGGACAAGGAGTTGACTGGAACGCGTCGAACGGAACGTGTGACAAGAAATATTTTGACGGAACTGTCACACGAAGAGCTAGGAAGCTTGGAAAATGTTAAGATGCTACTGCAAAACCCAGCGACACTTGCTCCACCAGATTCTTGTGGAACTGTCTGCATGTACAGCGATGCGAGCGATGAAGGATGGAGCATAATACTCGCTCAAGTGACAGAGTGGAGCTTGTCGCTGCCTGTTGACGAGTTGGACCATACTCTACTGCACTGCATGAGCGGGACTTTCCACGGCGCATCCAAAAACTGGGGTGTCATTGAGATAGAGAGTTACCTATCGTTCGAGCGTGCTGTGAGTTGGATTGTCTGCCGATTCGTGATACAGGCTTTAAAATATTCACCGATCACAGAAATCTCGTTTGCATATTTGCACCTGGTGTAGAAATAAAAAAGCGCATACGAGGAAAACTACTAAGAAGGAGTTTGAAGCTCAATGGATTCAAGTACGAAATCGAACACTTTGCAGGAGAGGATTACGTATGGGATAACATGTTTTCGAGATGGGCTCGGCAGCAACCGACAGCTGCTTGTACGACCTCTGTAAAGCGCTGGGAACCAGATCAGCAGCCGTCGCGTTTTCGGCCTTTAGCAACCATCAAGTAGGCGACCTTGGACGACATCGTATAATTTGAATAAGCGTGGAGTTTATGTGATTCTTTCGGGAGACCGTGGATTCCTGGAAAAACCGAAGAACTTTTGCAGCGCCTCATGGTTGTCGCTCGTTGCGAAAGCCACTGCCACCGCGGTGTAAATGCAATGATTCAGGAACTTGAAGGATACTTTGACATCAGCAATGTCACACAACAGCACGCGCGTTTTGTGCTAATTGTCTACTCTGTTGCCACGTGAAGGGAGGCAACATTATCCCCCGACCGTATGGAGAACTGTTCCGTTCAGCAGAGCACAACGAGGCCCCCACATAAATTTCCTGTACATTGGCAACTACGATGGGTCCAATGACTACGTATTGTTGCAGAAGGATGATTACTCGCACTTTAGTACTTAGTACCATGCCAAAAGGCAAATGCTTTGACTGCTACTTATGAGAACCTTCGGGCCCCAAACCTCATCAATCATTCCATGGTTGATTCCATGGTTGATGAGGTTTGGGGCCCCGAAGGTTTTCATGAGCGACACAGCTACTCACTTTAAGAACCATCTGATAGCCGAATTGTGCCAAGGCACACAGACTCGCCAATATTTCACTATCGCTTACTGCCCCTGGATAAATGGCAGTGTGGAGAGCATTAATAGAGACATCTTTAAGATATTTTGCGTGATGATACTAGAATTTCAGTAGAACCAGTGGGTGGACGTACTATCTCTTGTACAGGCGGTCCCGAACCAGACACCGGTTCAGTCGCTGGCCAACTTGTTGCCCATTGAAGTAGTCATTGGAATGAACCGCCCCTCTCCACTAAGAAACATTGTGACGGCAGATAGTGAGGGGGGACAAGTCCATCATTTTGACGAGATGTCGGATAACATTGTGACTCATGTGAATAAGCTTTGAGACTCTATTCAAATTATGCACCGAGGCTTGGAAGAGGCAAAAATAAAGCAAACACGACGCAATAAGAAGAACCAACGAAGTGCCCATCCGGTGAACTTTCACATCGGCGACTATGTACTGTGGTCGCGAATTCAAAGTCGACTTAAGATGAATAAACTCTCAGTGAAATGGGTTGGCCCATACAAAGTTGTCGACGTCAAACCCAACTCATTTATGGCAGAGCACCTGATTGATGGATTCGTTCGAGATGTCCACGCCTCACGGCTTAAACTGTATGTAGACAGCTCGTTCAATGTGACGGAAGAAATCCGTGAGCATATTTCCAACCAGGATATCTCTCTTACAGTGCGTGATTTCCTGAGCCACCGCGACAGCGCCGAGCATGATTATAAGATTATAGGGTATGGGAGGGCATGGAGGATATTGAGAATTCGTGGGAACCAATTTTAACGCTCCACGAAGATGTTAAACTCAAACTTCAGAACTACGTTGCAAAAGCTACGGACGCCAAGCTCTCGAGCTACTTGCAGCAGCTGGACAAGCTATATCTCCCGCGGCTGTCTGAGGCTGCGAGTAACTGTGGCAATACATTCGCATCGCTTCTGTCTACGACACGATCTACAGAGCAGCCACCCCCAACGTAGGACGCCACTAACTCGAACGAAGCGAGTTGCTCAGAGCCGCCGTCATCGCAACCAAACTTTGGCATTTCACTGAAATTACCTCAAAAATAGTGAACAGGAAAAAATGATGTGTGTGTGTGTGTGTGTGTGT